GTGAGCTACGAGTGAATCATCCAGAATGAAATTACAGCTGAAATTGCGGCCCTCATTCTTAGGAGTCTGAATTACCGTCCGCGAAGTAGCAGCCAGTCAAACATGAGGACATACTTGCTAAATTCGATGGACTTGAGGTTTTGAAAACCATGTCTATCAGGTACAGCTCATCTCTGCAGCGGACGATCAGCAGCAAAGTAAAAGTGGCACGGCGGAGCTTTGGAAGATTGAAACAGTTCTTGTTCGGGAAGCTGTCTTTGTGAATAAAACCGAATGTTTTCGATCAGTGTGTTCTCACGGAACTATTTTATGATCTTTATTGCAAGAAGACAGGCGGTAATATTTTGAATACTACGTCGCTGGGCTTTAGTAGCTTCCCGTTTTGTAACACTTGTGGTCATTTGTTGTGCGATGTACAGTTTGCTTTTAGCATGGGATATCAGCTGCGATATTGCCCAAGTTGCTAGATGTCCAATTCTGGTTGTTTGCTCAGGAATAAAGACAATATTGGACATTCCAAAGACTTTGGAGTATTGCGTATGTTCTTATTGTGCAGTTCGGTACTGTCTAATTGGATAATCTTAGGAAACGCTCGGTATACCTGTGATTACCTTTGGTCCAACTAATGATTTTCCCGGATTTTGGACTGAAAAGAGCGGATATCATTCTCAGTTTTGCACGGAAAATCCACAGGAAATATCCGAACTTATGAGTAAGCATTTCATGATTAGTGCTGTTTTGTACCTGTCGCTGCAAAATGCTGTACTGTAAATGTTTTGTATAATGATTTGGTGGATGGTTTGGGGTCCTCCAACTGTTGACTTAGCGGTTCAGTAGGCTGAGGGTTTAAGTCGAGCTCAAACGATGATAGTTTGGGATCTAGATCAGAACCGTAAATATTCCATGTTTCCAGAATGAAGAAACGAATGCCATTGCGTGAGATATGGGATCATCACCGTCCTCTTCATTGCCTGTAACCGGACTATAAATTGGCAGGTCTTTCAGCGTAGATTATTATACAGACTATTTGTAGTTTTACAACCCGTCTGTTAAACCGCGTAATGTAAAGGCACATGCAGTGTTACCTCACAATCAGGCAATGCTTTCGTAAACATGATACTTATGACTTAATTTCGTTGTAATAGTGATCTGCGCCATACCAAAAGCTGTTTAAAGAAATGCGTTATAAATTGCACCTGTCGTGAAGGTGTGAACAACACCGTGTTTTCACATTTACAAATTACAAGCTTTCCTTTGTGCATAATCCATCGAAAAGTTCCCCGATGAAAGCGTAGCAGAGGAAAAGTTTAAGTTATGCATGGGTTTCGGTTACGCTAGTGATGGCTGAAGACTGTCAGATGGTTCCATCAATAAATTAAAACGTGATTCGATTTCATGTATTGGTTGGTTTTTTCCACAACTTGTTTCATTCTTTCCGCTAGGAATATTGCGTCTTG